TTTTAAACTTGTTCTTTATACTTATAAATTATTTTTAGTTGTTGTAAAATAAGTAAATTGTGTTTTATCTTATTAAAAATATTTTTTATTTTATTTTTCTAAAATTTTAAATTTTTATTTTTATTATTAACGATGAATTTAAGATATATAAATAACATTTATTTTAAGAATTTATGAAAAATTTTAAAAATATCATCCATTAATATAATATCACTAACCGTTGTAGGTAATATATAAGATTGTCACTTAACTTTTTTAATAAACAATCAAGTAGTTAAAAATCATAATATAATAATGGAAATTAAAAATAATAGTTTTAAATTTTAAAAAATTACGATAATCAAAATTAAAATTTATTTATTTTGTAAGGATTAAAATCATATTTAAATATATTATTTTATAATTTGACAAGTTTTTTCCTTATAATTTATATTAGCTAACTTATAGTTTATCAATTAATTATAACTAAAAAGCTTATCATTGTAATTATAATACCTTTTCATCCTTATGCTACAATAATTCAAGATATTTAGGATCTCTTATATATCAAAAGGTTAGCAATCTAATTATATCATAATTAATAACAACTAAATCATTTTTCTTAATAAGTACTATAAGTAATTAACATTATTAATTCTCAAATTAAATATTTATCCTACTTACTTTAATGGTTCAAGGAAATTTTAATTAAGGTGTAAAAAAAATGAAATTTCAATTAACTTACCAATAATCAAAGAATTAAATAAGATTAGTAATATTTACTTTTTTTTTCTTCCAAATTATTGGTTGCAAGTAATATTCACTTTGATTCTAATTGGCATATAAACATATAGTAGTACACATTATCACACAACATTTTCACTATAGATACAATAATTATTGGTAAAATTCCAAGTCTCACACCTATTAGAAATAAAACAATTAAACAGTATATAAGTGGAGGATAACCTTCACCTTATAAACAAGTTTTATTAGATTGAGTTAGATCTAAATAGCTAAACACACTTTTTAAAATGATATCATATATATGTATATAGATTCATTCTAAAAAAATCACACACCAAGCTCAATAACACTAAGTATGAAGGAATTTATAAGTTAAAACTCAAATCTCACATCAACTAGAGATAAAATAATTATAAAATATATAATGAAAAATAATTATCATCTTATAAATTAATTTTATAGGGTTGAATACACTTTATTAAAACACGTGTCATAAATTATTCACACACGCTATATCTCAATTGAAGTCATCTGGGCTTGCCCAGTCCATGTTTGATATGACCCATACTACGTTCGCTCGGACTAAAAGAATGTCTACATTTATTCGGAATCAAATTTTAGGGTCCAACTCTTACATTTTATAGGGTTGTTTGGGCTAGTTAGTTAGTCAAATCTTACACATTTTATCATCTTTATATCTTATACTAATTGCTTGACTTGGTTATTGCCTATTTTTAAGGTTTTTGTCTGGTTAAAATAAAATTGAAGAAAAAAAATACTTGTTTGATTGATTAAATGTAAAATAATAATAGAAATAATTATTAAGTATAATATTATAAGTTATCATGAGAGACTATAAATGGAAAATAAATTTAAGGACAAAAGCTGGACAAACTTTTTGTTTTGAAGGTCTAAGAATATATCACGATTAAATTAGAGATCATTTTCATAAATTACTTTTTCTGACTATTGTAAACTGCCATAAAAATTATATCAATTCAACAAAAAAAAATTCTCACCACTATTAGTAGTACATGTGCAAGTCATATAGTGTCAATGTGTATATTAGTATGAGTTGAAAAGGTAAAGGGCGTCACACATATTACATAATCACTTAATATTTTAAGTTAGCGTTATTAACAACTAAATACATGGACAAAAAATTTATAAAAAAGTATGATTTGTCAATTTTTTTAAAATACTAGAGATAAAAATCCACATAATTCAACCAAAACTAAGATGAAAAAGAAAAAAATAAAGTGATATGAACTTTCAATTTAACAGTTAAATTTACAAAATTCACATTTAATATAAAGTTATTGAGCAGTGTAATACTTAGTAAAAGTTATATCGGTATTATTATAACCCTCCTCGTGTGTGTATATATATATATATATATATATTTCATTACTTTGCTAGAGGTTGTTGAATCTTGTTCACCCTCATCCCGGGAATCTGTTATTGGTTCTATATGATATAAAATAATGTTGGTTGGTTCATGTGTGCACATCCAATACCAAGATAACCATGATTCACCTGCTGTTGAAATTAATCACGTACTCAACTAAATAGCTAGCTTAAATATACTATTATATATAAGATCTCATGATGATATAATTTTACAAAACATTAAATTTTAATAGCTTTTACCCGAAGACATGCTTTCTCCCAAGTTTGAACTAGGGCTACACTTACTTTCTTCATTAGCAAGCATCGAATTCCATGCAATAGTTTCTTCGCAGGTTAATCAAGTGTCGTTGCTAAGATAGTTATACCTAATTAGACATTAATGTGCGTGACACTGGGTCAGAAATCTTGCACTGCTTTGCTTTCATGGCACGTTTAGATTGGATCCAAATATAAAGGTGTCACGTTACAAAAGGTTCGTGTCTCTATTTTCTATTTGCAATATTACAGCCAATAGTCACAACTGGGTTTTGTTTCTAACTACTTAGGGCAAAAACACATCTCATTCTAGCTGTTGTTGTTTCTTTGTGCAAAGATATAAAAGCTTGTGTTATTAACTAATCTAAAATTAATATAAATTGTTATTGTTATGGCTTTTAATATAGCTACTACATAGATTAATAAACTTAACATACGGTAATGTGTTTTGGATGTAAAAAAAAAAAAAATCACATTGTTTAAAAGTTGAGAACGGGTAGTTTATAAATATCTTTCTAGAGTTAAATATTTTTTAAAAAATAAAATTTTAATAACTCAATAAACACGAATATTTATATATTTATATATATATGCATGCGTGTGCGTTGATAATGATTATGTTGAAATAATATGTATCGGATAATAAAACAGTTGATATATAATTGGATAATAGAATAAACAATTTTTAAATTGATAATTTATATTGGATTTAGGACAAAATCATTGGTGCTCCTTTTGCATGTTATCTCAAAAGCAGGGATGGATGCCATGTAACGATCAACATATTAATATAACAAGAATACGTTTTTATTTATTATTATATGTTTCATGTGCTCTATTTAATTTAAAAAGAAAAAAAAACCCAACTTCCTTGAATTTTAAACACATTAATGAACCATTTAATTCATTGACAAATGCAAGATCTTAGGTTGATGGGTTCAAAAATAATAAAAATTAATAATTATCATCATATATAACAAAAAAAAAAGCATAAATGTAAAAAAAAAAAAACAATGGGTTCAATATATAAAATTAAAAAATATAAAAATAATACTTTTAGACATACACTAATAATTCAATTAAAGTGAAAGAGTGCATGTATCTCCTCTTACTATAATATAAGTCCTTAACCAATTTAATTTAATCTTTTAGAGACAAAATCTATAAATTTAATCAAAGTTGAAGCCTCCCAAAATCTTAAATAACATTATAGTAAAAAAGAACGCCATTATTCAAACTTTAGAATTCATTTGGGTCACATGAAGCAATCTTGAACAAAAAGCAGCACATCTATGGTGTGTGTTTTTTTATGTGTATGCAAGGAAGTATATATGAACAAAAGCAGAGTATAGTAATGCTGTGGACCAACATAGCAAATCCATGTTATGTCACCCACTTGTACAAGAATCAAAACACATGCTAGGGTCTCCAAATAGTGGGGCCCTTACACTAGAGTCTCAAATTCCCCCACATGTAACCACATGAAGGGAATGGAATGCCATCTCCACGGTCACAAATAAATCACAACTAAAAAAATAAACACTAATTAATTTGGAGAAAGGGACATTAATCCACGATAAACGCACCACTCCTTCCCTCTTTTACAAGTCAAGTTTTGAAATTAAAGAGGAAATCAAAATGATTACCCAACTCAAACCCCAAAACTTTTATAGCCCAAAAAGGACACTCACCACCACTTATGTGCCAACTTGCATGTCATTATTTAAATTACTTGGGCCATTTTGCATCAACAAAAGTACCCACCCTTAACGACCTCTCTCTTTCTCATTCTCTCTCACTTTCCACATTTATAATATTTGGTAACAAACTTGATAAATTTCTATTTTTAATAACTTTTATAGATGATTAATTTTATTAGTCAAACAGTCAAATTTGAAAATTAAAAAAAAACAATTATTAGAAGTGTCATTTAAATATTTAATATTAAATTTGACCCCTATTTCAATTGATCTTGTTTTTATACGTGTATGTGTGGGGATTTTTCCCTCATATGCACAAAATACATTGGTTAAGAGGATAAAAAAATATACATATTACAAAATGATTCATATACCCTATGAGTTTAATTTACATACTTTAACAGCGTAAAAACTATTAATCAATCAAAAATTTAGGTATATCTATAAAATTGTTATAGTAAAAATTAATAAGCTTACTCTATATCACTATTTGTGATAAGATGTAAGTAAAAAAATTGTTAACATTTTATGAATAATCATTTTATTAGTATAAAATATTTATTAATTTTATTTATTACTAATTTTTGCTTCTAAATTTGGTTAGATGTCTTTAGTAGAATTTTTTTTTAACTATATTTTTTTTTGCTAACAATACTTGAATCTAACACTTTATTTAAAAAAAATCAAGTCTAATTTCACTCAAATTAATGATTTGTTGATAAATTCTTTTACAAACATTGTTATTGCATACAATGTTTGTTGACTTTGTTCTATGATATGAAATTTTTTTTATAAAAACTACTTGATAATTAGTTGTTAAAATAATTTAAAACATTTAATATAATATATATAATCTCCAACCTATGTTGTTGGTGCATAGGGTAGAAAAGTGGCATATATAAACATAAATCCCTCATCATGATAACTTGAAACATTGTTGTTGCATCAAACTTTGGTGAGTGTCGATGGCAGAGGGGGAGAGTCCAAGTGTGATGCCAAAAGTGATCACTTTCCTCTCCTCTCTACTTGAGAGAGTAGCTGAGTCAAATGATCACAACCAAGAACAGCATCAGCAGAAGATCTCAGTGTTCCATGGCTTGACACGACCCAACATCTCAATTCATAGCTACCTTGAGAGAATCTTCAAGTACGCTAATTGCAGCCCCTCATGCTTCATTGTTGCCTATGTCTACCTCGACCGTTTCACTCACAAACAACCCTCCTTTCCCATCAACTCATTCAATGTGCATCGCTTGTTGATCACAAGCGTCATGGTTGCTGCCAAATTCATGGACGACATGTAAGTGTTAATTAGTATACACAAAATCTTAAATTCGAACTTTGTTGATGTTGTTGTAATTTCTACTGATTAAAAAAAAGGAAGAAAGAAAAAGTTAGTAGCTTTGACAAACTATCAAGTTCTGTGTTTTCTTAATTGTAGAAGAGTGGAAGCTTGATATGTAGTAATTAAGTTAACCTATGATGATGAATCATGACAAACTTTCAAATTCTGGGTTTTCTTAATTATGGAAGACTTAAAGTTTGATATATATATATATAGTAAAGTTAACCTATGATGATGAATCATGGGTGGTTTAGAGGCTTGGAAAGTTAGAATTGATATCATGTTTTCATTTTTATATTTGAGATGACAATATTCAGGGTCTCTTGATTTCCTTTGTATTGTTTTATTTTAGAAAACATTTTCTAGAATAATTTCATCATGTTCGATAATAATTTTTCATCCAAAATCTATTAAATTTTGAAAATTGCTTCCAAACTAGAGTGTGGATCATCTGCATTTGGAATAGTGTTGCGTGTTGTGAGGCATGAGTTTAGTGTAGGTACGTGTCTATTTTTTTTTTCTTCTTACTTTTAAATTAAAATTTGTTTCTGGAAATAGAAATCAAACTCACTATAACTCTCTTGGAATCCTTAACAAACTTTCAAATTCTGCCTTTTCTAAATTCTGAAACTTTGATATAAAGTATATTTGAATACAAGTCAATAAGTGCTTTTTAAAGTTTTTTTTTTATTGAGAATTAAGAGTTATTTTCAGTAAAAAAAAATTATAAAAGTATTTCTAATTTGTATATAAACAGGTTAACCAGTGATTAACTATTAATCTTTTGTTTGAACTCTTTTCTTTAGTAATTAAAATGATGATTCAGTTGCTCTGCATTTCCTCTGTTTGGGATCTATGATTGTTCCCATGAATTTTTCTTGTTCTGGATTTTGAAGTATTCCAGTACTAGGATGTAATTCAAATGTCTTTAATTTTTTTTTTTCCTTTAGGGGTGTTTTCTTTTCTTCTATAATAATTCTCTGACGTCACATTTTGTGTTTATAATATAACAATATTTCTTTAAAGAATATAATCTTGCTTGTGAAAATACCATGTCCAGGCTGGCTTTCCAACGAGAAGAGACAATCTACCCATGTGATCCCATGAGTTTACTGCACATATCCAGCAAATATCTTTTAATTAATTATATGGATATAGATTGATAGATAAATATAATTGTCAATGAAAATTTAAAGAGAAAATTTATTTTTTGATTGTGTAATTATAAAGTATCTAATGATCATCATTCATTTAGTATTAGAACTTCGTGGTTAAGATTAACCTTCTGAAGATAGTATACACTTACAGAAGAGAATAATTAATTTTTGATTGTATAATATTATATAAATAGTCCACATTTGTTTTACTTAAATCTAGTTATCACCATGCATTTAGTATTATAATTACGCGTTTAAGATTAAACCCTTTGAAGATAATATACACTTACTGTATAGAAAAATGAAAGTGACATACTTTCTTGTTAATACTTCTATTGTTAATTGAAAATTGGTAGGTCCTACTATCAAATTAGTATTAAAAAAAAAAACTCAATTAGGTACAAGATTTATAAAATTTATGATTTTTATTATATTTTAGTCAATAAAAAAAAAGAGTGTTAAAAAAATATTAAAAATAGTGTTACTAACATTTCTCTACTTTTATCTATCTATAATTTGGAACATTGAATTACAAAGGTAAAACAAATGCCAAGTACCGTTGACGTTTGACTTGCTAATTTTCCATCAAAACATGTTACATGATATTCACCTAATGTTCTCTTCTTGCTGCATGTGATTTGATATTTTCAGGTACTACAACAATGCTTACTATGCAAAAGTTGGAGGAATCACCAAAATAGAGATGAATTTTCTTGAGTTGGATTTCTTGTTTGGTCTGGGATTCCATTTAAATGTAACCCCAGGAACCTTCCAAGCCTACTATGTCCATCTCCAAAGAGAAATGCTGCTGATGCAACCTATAAATTTTGCAGATTCAACCCTAACTTTAGGAAAATCACTAAAGGCCCACTTGTGCTTCAATGAGGATGAATCTTCTCATCAAAAGCAACAACAACAACTAGCTGTTTGATTCCTTTGCATTTTCTCAATGCATGTAGTGTGTATGGTTGACTAGTTGTAATTAAATCTAGTGAATCTTTTACAGTCTGGCAAGTAAACTACTTTTCCTTGTGCTATTCTAATTCTTTCTACTTTTTTTTTATACTTTTTTTCTCCTATTTTCAGTTTCTTAATTTTGGTTATATTATTTGGTAGTGTAGACAATATTGTCTCAATTCGGTCTAACAAGTAAAGTATGGTATTTTCTTTTTTCAATTTTAATTTAATTTGTTATAAGGAAAGCCTATGATCTAGTGGAGAAGATGGAAAAGATAGAATAAATTGAAGGAAACCCATCTTCCTTGTCATTGGATCAAGCAATCATAAAAGCAACATTTGAAATTTGAAATTTGTTTCTTAAATTATTTTTGTCATTAATCAAATATCACATAATAGGAAAGGATCTATGCTTTCACAAACTTTTTATTCTTTTTAATATAATATATGTATAATTATAAATTGTCTCCATAATTTAAAATATAATAAAAAAAAGTCAAACCATAATATACGAGTATTGCCTTCACAAATTTATATATATGTACAATCTTTACAATTTAAATTTTTTATTTGTCCTTGTCACCGAAGGCATTGCTCCAAGAGTCTAAGACTGACCCTCAGGTTGGGATGGTAGTTAAGTAAAATGTTTCTCAGATTCTCGACTCAAAAAATCGAGTTAATTAATTTTTTATATTTCTTTTTTTTTTTATATATAAATTGACATTCTCATTCTTATCCACATTTAGATGCTAGCAACATATTCTATTGTCATTTTTTTTATATGTATTCTCTTTTAAAAACAGTTATGTTTAAGATTGATTCGATATTAGGATTTAAGTATATCAAGAAAGTTCAATTTAAAAGATTAGTGCATTAAATGGAAGAACTTCAAAGCTTAAATATCATATTCAATTTGATATTCTATTCGATATGAGGCGGTATTAAATGTGATTAGTCAATTTCATTGTATTCAAACCAATAGTTTTTCTATTGTGATTTATGAGAAAGAAAAATAGGAGAGAGAAGTTATTTAACTAAAAGAAGAAGAAAAAATATTACAAATGCAAATGAAAGTTGTGAGATTATGGACTACAGCTAACAGCCTTCTACAGCTTGTTATAGAACTCTAAAGGATCTTGATCCGTAATGAATTGTGACAATAGAGCCAGTTTGGCATTGGGGTATAGGAGAAAAGAATGAACTATTGTGAGGTGGTTGATAATTTGCAAGAGAGACAGTATTTGCTAGTTGTGCTAATTCTTAAAATGTGAACAAGGAACATGTGCAATAATTAATTGGACAACAATAGCAAGTTGGTTGAAGAAGAGAGAGAACTGGTTATGTATCATGTATGAGTGTGCTATAGAAGTTCAATAGTAAATTTGTATTAGCACCACCTCAAAAATATAAGGGACACTAGTTTGTTTAATGTAGGACATAGGGTTTACAAGGATTGTGGATCACAAATTTCTAATCGGTTAAGCCACCTTTGGTCAACATAGACATCCATGTCTCACTCATGTGCCCCATATTTTTAAGTGACAAGTGAGTAGCATCTAAATCAAAAGAACATGGCAGAATACTGATCTAGCCCTACTAATCGTGCTAAACACCACAAAGTATAATGAGGAATTTAGAATTTTAAATTGTAATTAAGGGTAATATTTTATGCATATAAATTTTTAAGATAATATTTATATCATAAAATGATTTTTCTTGTTATATTTTAAATTATAGAGGTAATTTGTAATTATACATATTAAAAAATAATATATATGTATATATATAT